TGTACAAATTGTACATATGTGCAAATTGTACATATGTTCAAAATGTACACATCCTATGTACAAAATGTACATGGTTTCTATGTACAAAAGGTACATAGCTTCTAAACCTAATATACATCTGATCTACTATGTGTGAAAAAATTCATTCCAAGCCATGATTTACCTTTTTACACACTCCCAATCTTAATTTCGAGTTCTATGAGAAAGCCAACAAAGGTAATTAACAAAAACCTAAGAATACTAAAAAGAAAGAAAACAAAAACAAGAAAATAAAGATAAAACAATTAAAGAAATCTAACTACAAGCTCTTTTTCAATTATGCTAGACCACCAACTACCTAGGCTGGATTGGATTTACTGTCAAATTTTTTAACTTCTGGTAGGCCTTCTTATCTTGGGCGATGCTTCATGTTCATCTTTTTTAATACCAATTTAATTTTGATAACAATGTCCAATACTATAATAGATTCTTTCATGAATACACTTTGACATTCCTCTGGGGCTTCTCTTAAGTCTTATCCAGCAGGTAATATGAACATTTCCTTCCTTCTTCCCATCTCTTTCTTCAAATCTTCATAAATTGTTTCTGCGATTATTCTTCTTTTCTCTTTATTTTTATTATTTGCTTGCTGTTATGTGCCTCACACCTGCACAATAACTGTCATGACCTACCATATTCTAATTTCATCATGTTTATTTTTTTCTTTTATTTTTTTTTAATATTTTCGCATTATTCTTTATATTCTTTTCTCTTCTTTTTTTAATATTCTTGTTTAGCTACAATAAGATGGTAAATTTATTTGTTATATTTTTCATTTCCAGGATACCAACAACCTGGTCTGGATTTGAATTAACGTCAGATTTAATCATTCATTTGTATTCTTTGGCAGAGTATTTCTTTATTTCTTCCTTGCAAAGTTATTAAAATATATATATATATATTTTTTTTTTGGATAACATGTTACTAATGTTTACCATACTTCTTTTAAAACTTAAATAAAAAGATCAAGTGAATATTTCTACCAGGATCGAATATCAGAGCACATAACCATCGTATTGGCAGGTATTGGAAGATTTTATGAAGTATTGCTTTGATTACAATTAATTTTTCAGACAACATTACTAACCATGGCTCCTTTTTAATATTCATATCAGTAGATCTACAGTAATATTTGAATATACTTTTCTTATATACTTCAGTTCCAATTTTCTTACAGCAGGGACCTAGAGCACTTGTCACCTCAAATGATTCTTGATAATAACTAAATATTTGATAGTTATCTTTTTCAAAGCAAATTCTATTTCGTTGACAAATTTCAAGACTGTATTGTCCATTTTGATTATAATTTTCAGCACAATACTATTCAAGATTTCTGTTCATTCTTACTTCAATTCTCTCTAAATAACAATGTCTAGCATTATTCATTTCTCTAACGTTTCTGATAGCAGCAAATTTCTGACAATAACTAATTGCTTTATTATTTTCATTCAGTTTAACTCCAACACTATTTTAGTAACTTTCGCCTATATTCAACATATTTATAGCTTTGGTAAATTCAATTTTGGCCAGCCTTTTTGCTTCTTTGGCAGTCTTTCAAACTTTGTTAACCTTCTTAATTCAGGTTTTACAGGCTTTTACAAAACTTTTTTTCTTTTGATCACAGAGTCCACCAGAATCGAATCGTCTAGTTGAATCTCTATTTCTGGCATGTTGCAAATGCCACTCAAGTACTTATGCTTGTTAAAACTTTCATTCATTTTAATTTTTATTTTATCTTGATAACATTTACCAATGTGAAATTTTCTCTTAGCAGATTTCATTTCAGTAAGTTTTTTTACTTCTTTGATGGTTTTTTGAAATTTCTTAACTTTATCCACCCATTCTTCACATGTATAATTTAGGGCTTCTTCTTCAAAAAATCTTTTGGTCACTTCTTCTACGACTAATATTTCTTGATCAATTTCATCTATATTTACTATATCATCCTTTTCTATTCCATTTCTATTACAAGGTCCAATTGTGTTATTCATATCTGCTGACTTCGGGTAACAAATAGATGTCTAATATTCTTCTTTTTCTATTTTCTTCTAATTCTTTAGTTTCGCTATCATTGTCTTCATTAGCTTTATTATCACCTTGACTATCAAATTCGAAATCTTTATTAGCTGACTTTTGGTAATAAATGGAAGCCTCATATTTACCATTTTTGACTCTAATTTTATTATCATACTGATAACTAACAGTAAGCATAATACTGGTGTCGCTCATCTTAGCTGATTTTTTATAATCATTAAATGCCTTTTTTTTTTTTTTTTTAACTCCAATTCCGGTTTGGTAACAATATCCAATATTATATATTCTGTTAGAATCACCCATTTTGGCTGATTTTTGATAGTAAATAAATGTCTGGTCTTCGTCCTTTTCAAAGTTAATCTCTTTCCAATAACAGCAACCAACTTGTAAAATTCCACTAGAATTATTTATATCTGCAGATTTTTTATAGTTACTTAATACTTCTTTTTCATTCTTTATGGTTCTAATTTCATTTTGATAACAATAGTTAAAGTTAAATGTTTCATAATCATTACCTATCTTATCAGATTGTTAATAATGAAAGAATGCTTTATTTTCATCTTTCTTATCTTTTATTATGTTCTTTGATTCGATGTTCCAGGTTTCTAAAACTTTTAAATATTCCTTGGCTATGTTTTCCCAAACAACTTTAGAGCAAATTCCATTGCTTTTGGTTATTTCTTCAGAAATATGATAGATATTCAAAGCCTCGGATATAGAGCTTTTCTTCTGTTGAGGCTTTGAAGTAAAAACTTTCACAGTAGAAGTTACTGGTAAGAAGCCTTTCTTATTCATTGTTGGGGTTACTTGAATATAGGAAAGTAGGTATGTGATCAGTACTTCTTTATTGTTTTTGACTCTGGTTTGATGATAGTAACTATTGTCTGCATTAATCGCTTCCTTCTCAACTATATTCATAGTATAGACTTTCTGGAATCAGTCTTTCAGATCTGCATTATTTAGTTCTTTTTCTTCCCTAACTTCATAGAAAATATTCAATATTTATGTTAATGTCTCTCTAGAGTGGCTGTTCTTCATGTTCGAATCTTCTAGACTAAAGTGGTTGGAAATGTTTGAATCTCACAAGCTTTAGGATGATTGGAATGATGAGTTTGTCCAAATTTCACAGTTAGAGTTACTAGATTTGTTGGGTCTCTTGGTTTAGGTGGTTTGAGAAGTTCGATCTCACAGTCACCACCAAGTATAAAAGTGAGAAACGATCCAAAATCTCTAAATATGGGTCTTACAGATATCAATCACCACTAAAACTAATCTAAACAATACTCTAAACTACTGAACTCTATTAACCCTAATAGTGGAAGGCATGATCGAGGCATAGAAGACTTGGTCTGAGTTATTAGGGTTAAATAGAGCTCTGGATTACATCATGAAGCTCTACTTCGGAATCACATATTTTAGACTACTAACTCTATGTGAATTTGATTTGTTGGGGGGAAGGGGTAATTGGAGCGAACTTTAAAGTTAAAAGACTCTCAATGAGTCAAACTCTAATGAGTTTTACAGACTTTTTACTTAACTTACTAACTGACTGACTTTATTATAGATGCCAAAAACATCATATTTATAGATTCTATACTACTAATAGATACACAGTGGCTATGTTCGCTATGCTATATTCATGTTAATCACTATATACAAAATGTACATGGTGTCTATGTACAAATTGTACATATATACAAATTGTACATATATGCAAATTGTACATATATTCAAAATGTACACATCTTATATACAAAATATACATAGTTTCTATGTACAAAAGGTATATAGCTTCTAAACCTAATATATATCTGATTTACTATGTGTGAAAAAATTTATTCCAAGCTATGATTTACTCTTTTACAATGGCCACCTGATTTGTCTCTTTTATAACTATCTAGTTATATCTAGCAACAGATATTAGATCATTACCTTTATTGGCTTGGGTTGGTTCTTCTAAAAGATGGGTTTTCATGGGCTTACCCTCTTATACTACATTTTTCATTCTTCTTTACCGTGGTTCTGTAGCAACACCCTTGTTTTGATACGACCACGGTTTCTTCACATTTCTTATCAGTTTAGGGTTTTTTAGGGCTTAGCTTAATTTTATTCTTTTAAACTTTTGTATTGTATCACATCTAGATGAAATTTATAATTAGAAGTTTTTTTTTTTTTTTAGACCACAATTAACTACCCCAACAATTTTACAGACAGAGCAGTTACGTAATATTATCTCTTAATCTGTAGATTATTTTCAGGCAAATTTGTCTAGAAAATTTTTATAATTTGTATCATTGTACTAAATTGCTCTGACTTTAAAATTTCTATCAATAATTGTTATTTATATTGTTACCAAAGTTCTGCACAAGTCACGAGCATCATGTTTTCTGTCCGCATTTGCAACATAAACATATTGGTAATACTTTTGTCTAGTAGCATACCTACACATATTTGGGGTCTTTGCCTTGAAAATCACATTATGGAACATAGTAAATTATATGTTCCATAACTTGATTTTTAAGGTAAAGCCCCTATTTGTTAACACTAATTTAATAATCATTGATTAAAACTGGAAGAATTTGACCTATCACTAATAATAAAATCTAGGCAAATTTGCCTAGAAAACAGTTGATGTTTTTTTAAAAAAAGTTGATATAAATGTTTAAGATCAATAACCCTAAATTAGCATTAATATGACATTAACTTGGAATCATCGATCTTAAACATTTATATTAACTTTTTTTTAAAAAAAATCACCAACTGTTTTTCAGACAAATTTGCCTAAAAATTTTATTATCAAATGATTGATTAGGTTTATCCAGTCTTGGAAAATTATATATTAGAGGCTTTTACTTATTACGATTTGGCATTATATGTAGTAGAATTTATTAAATAATTTAAAAATTCTAGGCAAATTTGTCTAGAAAACAGTTTAAGGGATAAAAATAAAAATTTTCGAAACTTTAAATCAAAATAGCTTGGCAACCAATTAACAAATTTAACGAAAATTTTTTTATTTGAATTCTATAAATCTATATAATACAACTAAAAAATTTAGTCAGATAGTTATAGAAATATCTTTGTTCAAAATTAGAGAAAAATCAAAATGCTTATTATAATAGAAGCTATATTAATTTTTTTAAAAATTTGAATAAAGGTATCTCCACAAATACCTGATTAAACTCAATAATTTTTTTTTATTTGAATTCTATTAATTAATAGAGATATCTTTACTCAAATTCAAAGAAAAATCAAACCACCTATCAAAACAAAAGATGCAATTTTTTAAATAATTAAGTAAAATTAACTCACAACTATCAACTAAATTTTTTTTTGATTTTATAGATTTATATAATTCTAATAAAGAAAATTTTATAGAGTTTTGCCAAGTGGTAGTTGAAATATCTTTACTCAAATTTTTAAAAAATTGGTGTAGCTTTTATTATTTTGATTTTTCTCCAACTTTGAGCAAAGGTATCTCTACAACTATTTAGCCAAATTTAATAAATTTTTTTTCTTTAAATTCTATAGATTCATAGAATTTTAATAAAGAAAATTTTATCAAGTTTGGTCAGGTGTTGTTCATTCAAATTTTTTAAAAAATTGGCATAGCTTTAATTAGTTTGATTTTTATCTAACTTTGAGCAAAGATATCTTTACAACTATATAACAAAATTCGATAAAATTTTTTTTATTTGAATTATATGGATCATAGAATTTAATAAAAAAATTTTGTTAAATTTGTCAAGTGGTTGCCAAGATATTTTGATTTAAAGTTTCAAAAATTTTTATTTTTATAATATCATGTGACTGTTCTGTTCCTAAGCTCTGTCACAAAACTTTAATTTTTAATACATCTGCATTTACCTTTTTGATACTAATCAATATGCAAATCCTAGTAAAAATAAAAATTTTAAAAACTTTGAGTGAAGATGTCTCAACAACTACCTCTTGACTCTGATAAATCTTAGATTTGAATTCTATGGATTTAAAAAATTCAAATAAAAAAAATTTATCAAATTTAGCCATGTGATTGTTAAGATTTCTTTGCTCAAATTAGAAACAAATCAAAATGCCAATCTGCACCAAATTTCTCTAACTTTGAACGAAGATATCTCAATAACTAACTAATCAAATTTAATAAAACTTTTTTATTTGAATCCTATAGGTTCATAAAATTCAATAAAAAAAATTCATCAAATTTAGTCAAGTGGTTATCAAGGCATTTTTGCTCAAATAAACACCTATTATAATAGAAGCTATGCCAAATTTTCTTTCTAACTTTAAGCAAAAATATCTCAATAACTATCTAATTAAATTCAATAAAACTTTTTTTATTTGAATTCTATAGATTCATAAAATTCAAATAAAAAATTTTTATCACATTTAATCAAGTGTTTGTTGAGATATCTTCACTCAAAAAAAAAATCAAAATGTTAAAATCTATACCAAATTTCTTTCTAACTTTGAGCAAAGATATTTTAACACCCACTTGACTAAATACAATGAAATTTTTTATTTGAATTATATAAATGTATAGAATTAAAAAAAA